GATAGGCTTACCTAGTCTTAGAGACTAGGTGCCATCACGACATCCTACGGAGAAAATTTGGGGGTCGTGACACTTGGCAAACTAGTAATCAAGTCATTCACCAGTAATCTGTCAATTTTACTAGGGACACAAGACTACCAATTATCTCAAATCCTTTAAAGAGCATACTCCAACACAATGCTTAAATTCTCTTGTTTCAGATAGGGACACAAGACTACCTATTATCTCATCTCTGTTAAGTATACAATTAAAATCTCCCATTACTGTCCATGCCCCTTGAATTGTACCATGAATCCTCTCAATTTTCTACCATAGTTCTCTTCTTAAGGCATGATCAATGAAACCATATACTAGTGTCACCTGGAACATCAGTTTGGTACCTTTATGTACCACCTCATAGTGTATCAGTTGTGAGGTCATTAACATTATGTTGACATTTAAAATCAAAGGCTTCCAGAGTAACCAAATCCTACCACCAAGGTGGTGACTAGGATTTGTGGTGAAAGACCATTCACTACATAGGTTAATGGTCGTTGCTTGTACTTTGTGGCTCTTAACCTTAGTTTCCAAGAGCCCAAATAGACCAACTTTATAGTTGTGCATAAACAAATTCATTTCTCTGCTTATCCTGTCTATTTAAGCCCCCGGTGTTCCAAAATCCAATTTTATCTAGCATGAGGGAGGTCTCCCCCACCCCTCCATGTACCTGAACTCACACCTGTTATGCTAGTCATATTGCTAGTTGAGGCCTTTGCCTGACTCAAACTAGTCCCCAGGCCTGTACTAGTAGCAATCTCAATTTGTTTCATATTTGCTCTTGAGTCATCCTTTGTAGGTGTTCCAGCTGAATTGTTGTTCATCATTGAACTATTTTTCTTCCCAAGGGAAGGGAAGCAAAAGAGTTACTGGTAGTCACAACTACCTCTTTGTATTGTAACTGTTGTTTAGGTCTTCTTAGGCTATGCTGCATCTCCTTTACTTTATCACTTTCTAGCAATTTCTTCTCAACTGGTACCTTACCTTTCTACAAGTTATTCACCTGATTTGTGTGGGTTCCTTCTATCTGCTTGGTCAGCTTCCTATAGTATTGCTTGTCATGTACAAATATTTTGTAGTGGTCACACAAGATTGGTTTTCATTCATACTCAACTGGTTGCTTGATTATCTGCCTAGTTTCACTCTCAAACATGATTGTATCTGGATATGTTTGGTTCAACTGAACCTTAACCAAAACTCTAACACACATCAGTTTTTCCTTCATAGTTGTAGTTGTATTAGCTTTCACAGGTTTCCCTACCAACCCCGCAATTTTTGTTAGTGTTGTTTGTCCCCAATACTTTAAGCCAAGCCCTATCAATTTGATCCAGATGAGGACCTTTTCAACCATCACCTTGTTCATCTCAACATCTGGTCTCCATAGCTTCACAATCACTGGTTTCCTATCAAAGGTTTGGATCCCCTCTTCAATAGCATTAGTTCGAATCTCCACAATGTGGAATCGAACAAGGAATACACCTTTGCTAGTTTGTGCCACTTTGTCTATTCCCAGGGCTCCCTAAATGCGTTTGAAATACCCTTCTATAACTGTTAAAAGAGGGTTCGATCCTAGTATATAGCATACTACATCAGAATACCAATATTCCACCTCATTCTTAGTACCATCCATCGTAATTTAAACATTAGTAACAGGTGATTCTGCTGCTACTAAGTCAAACCCCTCTCTCAATTGTCTCCATGATTTGGGATTAGATTCAAAGTTTTGTGTTGTACCTTTTCCATTGGTGAATTTCTCCTTAGCATCAACCAGATCTGCCTAGGATGTCTTGCCAGTGCTCTGTTCGTCATTTTGCCCAGTGACCACATTTGGTGATCCATTTTTCCTGCTAGTTGTCATTAGTGTCACCATCAACGGCGGGATTTGCTTCAATTCCAGTGGAATTACCCCCTGAATCACATTCACACCTTTTGTTTTCTTTGCATCCTCTGATTGGGGAATCCCCATTTTCCCATGTTTAGCACCGTCAAATTTCCTTTCGTTCCTTGCCCTCTCCCTTTAGTCTTCAATTTCCTTGTCATCTAGCCTTAGCTGAGAGGAGCTCTCGTCCTGGAGAGAGTTTTTTAATAATGTTCCTTGAAAAACTTCAGTAATATGAAAATGACTTAAAATGTTAGTAGGACTTTGGGAGAGGTGAGTCATACTCTATCTATTTTAACTGATTCTTTTTTATAAAATTTAAAAAGATATTTTATATGACAATTTCAATTTGAGAATTCAATTTTTTTTACCTCAAACTACAGTTCTTATACATTTTAAATCATAAAAAATATAATTTTATAAATTTTCAATTATATTTTAAAATATTAATCAATGGCTGACCTGAGGCCCTGATAGTATACGAACTTTGACTCTAGTAAACAGAATAAACTTTTTTTGGGAGCATTCGGAAGAGGGGTGGACCCGTAAATTTGCTCCCGCTCAGACGCGCAATGCCGCTTACCCGCTGACCGCTATTTGCCCCGAGTATCGCTTACTTATCTCCTACTGTTTGATTTGTTTCGAAATCAATTCTACAAATTTTCAAATTCAAGTCACTGTTACCTGTTTAATCCGATTCAATATCTTGCTCAAATATCGAATTAGACATATATACAAACAAACATGGCATCATCAGGTACCATGAACAAGATCGAGAGAGCACACCTGATGTACAGAGAAGGCAAATACGCGGAAGCCCTGGGTTTTTATACAGACGCGCTTTCTTTGACCAAGACCAAGTCCCAAAAGATCGCTCTCCACAGCAATCGCGCTGCTTGTTTCCTCAAACTTCACGATTTCAAAAAGGTCAGATCTATCATCGATAATTACAAAGCAGAAATATGTTGAATTCGATATAAAAAACTTGAAACCTCAAATCTTGATACTCCTACTTTGGAACCTGATGCTTTCAGCTTTCAAATGGGAACTTCTTGCTGCTATGGTTCGTGAGAGTAAATGGTTACTCTTTTGGGAAATTGCTTGAAGATTAGCCTTTTACTGAATTCAGCATGACTATAAAGTTTTTCCTTTTCATTAATAACATAGTGCAAATGAAACAAAAAAGGATTTTCTCTTTTAAGTTAATGTTGACCCTACTTGTAGGGCTTTAAGTTCCAATTCAATAAATCATCTTTTTCAATTTACGTGCACCCGGCGTTTATACCAAACCAATGATAGCATGACATGTGTCTTCTGCATACTCTTTTATCACTTAAAAAAAGGGCAGTCTGGTGCACTAAGCTCCCGCTATGCGCGGGGTTCGGGGAAGGGCCGGTCCATAAGGTTCTATCATACGCAATCTTATCCTGCATTTCTGCAAGAGGCTGTTTCTGCAAGGGTCTTTTATCACTTAATTATGGTTAATTAATGTGCATCACCTCTTTATTACTTAATCATAGTAAAGTACATTAGTTTGCTGTAAACACCGGATGAGGGTAAGTTTTTACCCAGGCTGTGTACATAAATTCAAACTGGGTAGCTGCGGACTTTTGTCTATCCATTGTGTTCGTGATACCAGAATACTGCCAAAAGTTTCTGAATACGTTATTTATTAATCACGAAAGTCGAAAATAGCATATTGGTTTTCCTATTAGAAATATCCACGTAAGCTTGGTCGTTGTCTTTTTATTTTAGGTTTTCCCTATATAAGAATGTAATACCATACTGACATATCAAGGATATAAGTCAGCTGAAGAAGAGAAGATCGGTCAGTCTCCCTTTTGGTAAACTGTTAAACTGATGATGGTACTAACAATGAGGGCCAGTATTCCAACAGCGTTGAACATGTTCTCTACCAGATATATATGGCCTGCTATCTGTGCAAATTTTTTATTGAAAAGTTGAGCACTGTTTCTGTAGTTTGTGTTGATGAAGTATACTCTATTTTCTGCTTGGTGCTATTAGAAAGATAAAATAGGGAGGAAAGGGAGGATAAGCATTATCTCTCTTCAGCGCTTGTTTTAATCCTATTGTTGGGTATTGCCTTGTGCTGCAGGCAGCGGATGAATGTACATTGGTGCTTGAACTAGATCAGAAACACACAGGTGCGCTGATGTTGCGCGCTCAAACCTTAGTCACCCTCAAGGAGTACCATTCAGCACTTTTCGATGTCAATAGGCTGATTGAGTTGAATCCATCATCAGAAATGTATCAAAATCTTCATTCCCGTTTGAAGACACAACTGGTAGTTATTTTGCTTTTTTGTTGCGTTTCCTTTTTATATTTGTTTTTAACTTTTTTACCAGCTCCCGTCTATGTCTCTGCATATGGCTTAACTGTATATTAGCCTGTGTTTTTTCAACAATGTATTTGTTTGTTTTCATTTACTTTAACAAAATGTCATAATTAAAGCATTCGTCCTTGCTATCTTTGGGGGAATCAACCACTAAATTAAG